AAACACCGTCCGAGCATCACGCTCCTCTGGAGACAGGTTGTCTATCGGCAGTCTGCGAGCGCACACAAAAAAACCATTTAGTCTTAAATGTCTGAATCTTCTGCTGTCGTATTTCATGTTTTAGTCACAAACTCTCACCTGATGGGACTCTTCTCCTTCTTCAAGGGACTCTTACTCTTTGAACGTCGACGGCTGGAAACACAAACCGACAGTGAGCACTCACAACTAGAGTCTTCAAATTGACAATATTGACCTCAGTGTCAGAGAGAACTAGACCTTTGATGAGATAGCAGACTGGCTTTTATTGGAATTTGACCATTAATACTGACCCAACATCCCTCTGTGACATCCTGCTTTATGTTTCGGTTACATTTGCCATAGCTAAAAGTTAAAAAACATCAAAATAGGTTTGATTTTTAACTTCTTGTTATTTTTAATCATCATATTCCTGCTACCTGTTTTCTTGAGCTGTTGTAACTCAAAAATGTCCCCCATGGGGGATCAATAAAGTTTATCCTTATCCAAAACATCTACATTTGAAGTCTTGCAGCGGTTTATTTTTGTTGACATTTGCTGAGAACATGACCTTTGGTTGGTTTAGTCTGTTGGACAGAAGTTTAAGTCTTAAAAGGAAATGTTGTGTGGAATATTATTGTCTCAGCTCTTCAGGCTTTATGTGTTTCTTGGTGTCAGAACAGAAGGACTCACTGTTTGTGGTGGTCTCTGTAGCGCCCGCCCCTCTCTCTGCTGCCGTGTCGCTCTCTGCTGCGACTCCTTCGCTTGTCTCTGCTGCGGCTGCGTTTCCGCTCGCGACTCCGGCTCTTCTTCCTTTCTCGACTTTTGCTGCGTCTCCTGTCACGGCTGCGGCTGCGTTTCTTCCTGTCGGACACACAGCAGCCAATCAGAGCCCGGCCCGGATGCCAAAGCCTGCATCCATTGAAACGACCAAATAGCCCTGTTCAGACTGCCTGTTCAAGGCGTGACATGTACTTCCCACATGTCTCAGAGGTTTATTGGGGGGGGACAAAGTGATCCCCCCTCTGTAATGTCTTCGGAGGTAGTGACAGAGGGGCGAGACAACATCACTGTGGCGGTGGTTCTAGTGAAGCCTTTACACACAGTGTCAAACGACCCCAACATATTACTTTCTCCGTGTGGTATTACATACAACATGTCGGCATTCAGTCAGCAAGAGTAAGAAAGGAAACAACATTTCTGACATGTAGTGAGGGGAAACATCTGGAATCCTCCTACTACTGAAAATAAAGGTCCTTTATCGTCCCTGTTGTAACAAGTTTGTTTCTGTGCTCTATTAGATAAGACACACACACATTCTCAGTCCCTGCCAGTTATAGAGTTAACACGATGCAAATACAAGACATTTTTTAATTCTGCTCTCCATACAGACGGTTTCCCCTACACACACCAATGCCTCCTGATGTGATTGGCCAACACAGCTTGGACTACAAACATACAATAAACGGGAACCAGACCACTTCTCATACTAACATCCAGACCCCAGATTCCACCTGTTGTTGGGGTAGAATCTGTAAAGTGAGCTTAAAAAGTGTCTGTGACCATGTATCATCACCAAGGTTCTCCAACAGATCAGCAGGAATGCAGTTGGCAGGGACAAGCAGTCCCATTGGTCACCAGGAGCCAGACAGACAGGTGGAGAGACACTCAGACAGACAGGTGTGTTACCTCTTGCTGCGGTCCTCCTGTCCATTGGGACTGTGGCTCTTGGTGTCCTCCTAAGGTCGACAGAGAACAGCATGAGGAGGCGGGCGCAACATTCAGGTGTCAGGGAGGGGGGACAGGGGAGAGGAGGGAGGGGGCAAAAGAGAATATAAACACAATTTAATGAGTCACATTTATACACATTGTTCTGTGGTGGTAGGGGGTCAGTCTGGGGCAGTCAGTCAGTCTCAGGCTGCAGTCCAGACTCTGTTTGTGGGGTGGGGGGTGGGGAGTCAGTGTGGATGAAGCTCCAGCAGCAGACAGACACTGCACAGTCCAGCTCTTCTTCAGCCGGGAGGATGCTGTGCTGGTTTTGGGTGCTGGGACTCCTCTGAAGGGCCCTGAAGCAGACAGGAGTCTTAGTCACTCAACTCAGCCCAAAACCAGAACAAAGGACCCCCCTTCTAAATCAAAGCTCCCTCACCTGGTCAGGGTCCTGTTTGCTGAATGTTCCATGTGTCAACTTACGTGACCTTCCTTTTAACAGACCTCACCTGTAGCTCACCTGGATAAGCCCCTCCCACCCTGTTACTGTCCTCATCCTGACAGTGACCACACCTCTGTTGAGCCCTGATTTTCAACGTCCGAGTTTTTATTTCCCTCTTCAGCTCACTCAAGTGGTCCTTATGCTAAGCTAACTATGATGCTAGCAACCATGCAGTGTGAGGTCTCCTTTCTATGATCCTCTTGTGATTTTCTTTTCGCTTCTTTTTGCTCTTCTTTCTGATGCCCTCAAGCACTTTATCTCCCAATATCCTCAGCTGCTCCACATCAGGGGTGGGGGTGGGGTTGGGCCAAAACCAGGTGACAAATTAACCAAGGGAGCCACAGTCATGTTACCATGGGGACCACAGAACAGCAATGCATGATGGGGGCATTTTACTACCTTCATGTTTGTGACAGATCACACTGGCATTCAGGGGAGTAGAGGTGAGAAATCGTTAGGCAAGTCTACAAAGAGAGATAGATGGGCATTTATTCATGACAGTCTATAAAGGAATGCCATGATAATAATCATCATCGTCGTCGTCAGCCTGACTCTACTGCTCACAAACAGGAAATGCCCTCCAGTCTGCTTTGACAGCAAACTGATTATATTCTAAGAGATATGAGAGCAGTAAAGCCTCGCTCAAGTGTATTTCAGAATTTTGGGAATATAAAATTTCCGTTTCATTTCCTGAATGGGTCGATTAGCGTGAACCAGTGGTTAAGGTAAATTTGCCGTTTTTAAAGATCACTGGCCCAGGAACGTTACTTTTGATTAGGAAATTAACAGTCATCGATTTAGTCTTGAAACATTCTGATGCAGGAGTGATTTAATTACAACTTTTTATAATTCATCAAGTTCTTCTCATATGACATGGTCCATATTCTAGAGATTGTTGGGGCCAATATGGATATAACCCTAACTCAAAAACCAGATACAGATATAACTGTCGATATATTTGTTAGATCGTGTTAGATCTGTAAAGATAGATAAATATTCAACATTTATTGTGTTGATCACTAAAATGCAGTTATCAAACATTTGAGAGAAGATAAATAAAGAAGACAAGATGGTCACTAAACTGGAAAGGAAGTGCGCATGTTCGTGCGTCACCGTCTAGTAATATCAAAACCCAAAGTCACTGGATATGCTGATATTATGGGCTTGCAGATTAATCAGTCGGGCTCTAGATCAGATCCTTTAAGGGGGAGTAAGGCATGAGAGACAGACAGATCAGCAGTATATCTGCTTACTATGATCATACTGAACAAAGCAGTAGCTTTTCCAACATTTTGTGATGATGAGATGCTCCAAAGACTCTTCACAGTTTGTAAATGGACAGCCGACTACACGGACTGATGTCGGCTCTGCTCATCAGGTTCTATATTGTTTACATTTATCAGAGTAGGCAAACGATACAGTTTAAAAATAATATGTTGATGTTGTGGAGTCACAGAAGACGCTTATAAAGACAGTTCAGGAGAAGGAGCACGTTAATCCTCCTGAACCAGGACCTGCTTATCGACCAAAGCTGTTTCTGAAGATCCATCAGGTCTGCCTGTGGTCTTTAACACATGTTCAGTGATGATGAATAAGTGGGGATAGTGTCGCATTAATAATAGTCACATCTGTGTTGAAATGTTGAGCTTTGGCCAGTGTCAACACCGGAGAAAACCTTTATTCCTCTCACTGCGAGCTGTTTATTGACGAGCCTCAGAGTGTTGTAATTTGTTTAACAGGTTGTCACCACACTTCAGTTTGTCCACCTTAAAAACTAAAGCGGATGTGGTGACTCTAATAAATACTTTAGAGTACTCAATGTAGTAAAGAATTTGTTTACAACTATTTGAGCAGCTACAATCCGAGGACCTGGAGCAGTAGAGTCCGGCTGACAGTGTCATCGACACAGAGGACAATCTGACTCTCACCTTCCTGTACGGAGCCTCCAGCATCGCCTCGATGTCCAGGTCATCTGCCATACTGCTGCTGCTCTGCACACAAAGACACATTTCATTAGGCTCGTCTTGACACTTCAATTTAAAACCTTTAAACAATTCTTATAAGTCAAATCCCATCGAAACATTTTTTTTTTTTTTTTCAACATACATCTGATTTGGTTGTCAACATTTCCCTACAGTAATGTGATTGCTTTGTGTAATTCAGACAGTTTGCAGGTATTTGCTGGAGCTGGTGACACTAAGAGACTGGACAAACTCATGAAGAAGGCCTGCTCTGTGATAGGCTGCAAGCTGGACTCTTTTGTAGTGGTGACAGAGAGGAGGACTCTGAACAAACTGTTATCCATTATGGATAATCCTGATCACCCTCTGCACACCCTACTGGACAAACAGCGGAGCAGCTTCTCCAACAGACTGATACAACTCTGCTGTCACAAGGACAGATACAAGAAATCCTTCTTCTCGAAGGCCAGAACTCTGTACAACAGCTCACCTCATGTGAGCAGAGAACTGTCATCATGATCATATCTCTCTCTCCACACTGTCATCTGTTCTGCACATGCAAAGTTTACAACTTATCACTGCACTCAAGTTCACTTCATTTGTCATTATATTTAATAGTTTCAGCTGATAACATGTCTACACTCCTGCACTTTAACTTATGTCAACACTGTCCATTTACTACTCTGTTTTTACACATTTACATTTAATCTTTCATATTTAAAGACTAGTAATGTTAAGTTAAATCCTGGTTGTATATATTCACATTCTTAGTTTTGATATTTTTAGTACTTATTTACTTTGTATTTAATATTATATTGTGTTTAGATTGCTAACATTGTGTTGTTTGCTCATATTGTGTGTTTGGAGAACCTGCTGCTGTAACTTCCCAGTTTAGGATCAATAAAGTCATTCTGTTCTGTTCTCTGAAGTGATCAGTCTTCAATCATTCACCTGTGAATACACACCTGAGCCGTTAACGGTCACCGGCTAGCTGCTAGCTAACAATGCTGTCAGTGGTGTAGCCGGGCAGACAGGCCTCGTTACCCCGGTAACTCCCGCCTCTTAACCGCCTACATACCGAGTCAGTCGGTGTAACCGGGAATTAAAGAGGAGTTTTTACCTGTATTCACAGCGGTTCAACGGGAAATATCCAACGAACTCTGTCCGGTAAACGGTCGCTCTTCAGACGTTGCCCTCGAGAAGGGAAGCAGTACTTTAAATGGCGTAGTCAGACGAGACCGTGTGATCTCGCGAGAAAAGAACTTCCGCGAGATCATAACAAAGTAGTATCAACTAGGCCTGTGGTTTATTTCAAAGAAATGTCCCCCTAAGGGGAATCAATAAAGTTTATCTTCAGTAATGTAATGTGTTTAGTTAAAAGACATCATTATTTATCATGCATCGAACCATTACTACATTAGTCAGAACGAGTTACCTTGTTTAGGACTGCATATCGTTTACATGGCTGGGCCAGTGAGGGGATGCAGAAACTTTTCTGGTTTTTTTTACCACAATGCCAGTTTGAGTAGCCTACATGCGCACTTACCAACTCATACTTTGATTTGTTTATCTCATAATTGTATTAATTAATTATGACTTAATATGGGCAAAAAAATCAGTGGGTGTGTTTGAATTGTCCCTCCTATCTCCTTTCACTATCCACTTCACCTTAACCCCGGGGAAGGTCATGAGGTTAAGGAAAGATGTTAGGAGAATTCATAAAGGACTTAGGGAAAGGAGATCTCGTTGCTCTGACAATCCGACCACATTTCCACTATCAAGCTATCTTCACTACAACAGATAAATCATTGATCTGTGCAGCACGTTACCTCTGTGTCTTTTTCACATTTGTCCTCCTCTTATTTTTTTCGTCCCTGGGCTCCTGAGGGCTTTGTTGTTGTTGTTGTTGTTGTTGTTGTTTACATCACGGTCATTTATAAACGTGATATTAATCGGTGTGGTCAGTGTCACCTGCCCTCCTCCTCCACAACGAGCAGGTAACGAGCAGCTGTGTTGTGATGCGCCGGGTCAAGCAGGAGGCAAGAAAGTAGAGCCTTTTTAAATATGTGATAGTTGTGTTTTCATGACTTCTTTTGGATCATAACTAAATAAAAGCATGACAATGATATTAGATAAATAATATTTAGTGATATTTAAACGCATTTTTCCTTCTATTTCTTCTTCTTATCTTCAACTTTTCTGCCTCACTCATTTGCTGGCGGCCCCTGTGGAGGCTGGGCGCCCCCTGTGGAGGCTGGCGGCCCCTGTGGAGGCTGGGCGGCCCCTGTGGAGGCTGGCGGCCCCTGTGGAGGCTGGGCGCCCCCTGTGGAGGCTGGGCCCCCTGTGGAGGCTGGGCGCCCCCTGTGGAGGCTGGCGGCCCCTGTGGAGGCTGGGCGCCCCCTGTGGAGGCTGGCGGCCCCCTGTGGAGGCTGGGCGCCCCCTGTGGCTAACTTTTAAGCTAACTTTTAAGGTTCAAGTAGCCTCGATAGCCCGGTCATGTGGATTTGCCCTGTACAACATCAGGAAGCTCAGACCTTACCTGTCAGAACTACACAGCTCCTGGTACAGGCTCTTGTCATATCACGCATCGATTATTGCAACTCTCTACTGCTCTCTACAGGTCTTCCTACAGTCACTATCAAACCTCTGCAGATGATACAAAATGCAGCAGCACGACTGGTCTTCAACCTTCCTAAAAGAGCACATGTCACTCCTCTGTTCATCTCCCTCCTCTGGCTCCCAGTTACTGCTCGCATCAAATTTAAAACTCTGCAGCTCGCTTACAAAACAGACACAGAAACGTCTCCTCCTTACTTTAACTCCCCCCCCCCCCTCTATCGGGGTCGGGTCGCTGTGGCAACAAGCGAAGTACATCAACCCAGACTTCCTTCTCCCCTTCAGCATTTTCCAGCTCCTCCTGGAGGATTCTGAGGCGTTCCCAGGACTGAAAGGATATCCCTCCAGTGAACTCTGGGTCTACCATGGGGGTTTTTCCCGGTTGGGCATGCCTGAAGGAGGCGTCCAGGAGACCCAATCAGATGCCCGAAACACCTCAACTGTCTCCTTTAGATGTGAAGGAGTAGTGGCCACTTTTTCAGTCACTACCCATAATGCATCTTTTTTCAGTCTATGGCGTGACCACAGAGGGTTGGAATGAAGATCGGTAAATCGAGAGCTCTCCCTTGAGTCTCAGTTCCCTCTTCACTACAACAGTTCGGTACAACGCCCCCATATACGCTGAGCCAATCCGTCTGTCAATCTCACGGTCCATCTTACCCTCACTCTTGAACAACACTGACACACTTAAACTCCTTCACTTGGGGGCAAATAATCACTCCCCACCTGGAGGAAGCAATCCACTTTTTCCAACAGAGAACCACATCCTTAGACCCTGAGGTGCTGAGCCTCATCCCAGCCGCTTCAAACTGCTCCAATGCCTTCTGGAGGTCCCAGCATGAAAATGCAAACACAACCACATCTTCTGCAAAAAGAAGAGAGGATATGTGGAGAACCATCCTCCCCCTGGCTACACCTTGTGATCCAGTCCATGAAAATCACAGAAATGATTGGTGACAAGGGGAGACCCTGGTAAAGGCCAACACACACAGGCAACATGTCTGACTTTGTGTCAAGGAAGCAGACACAGCTCCCACTTTGGTCATACCAAAGTTTGAAAAATACCAAACCGGGACCTCATATTCATGCAGTGTCCCCACACGACCCCCGAGGGACACGGTCATAAGTCTTCTTCCCTCCCTGCTCCCATCCCTGCTGATAACAGCCCGGGGGGAAGCCCTGCTTTCCCTCTCTGAGCCGGAGAACGGTTTGCCAGAACTTCCTTGAGGTGATCCGAAAGTCCTTCTCTGTAGCCTCCTGTAATCGTCCCACACCTGAGGAGGAGAAACAAGAAGAAACAAATTGAGAGTCTCAGACAGTTCTGTCTTTGACCACAAGAGGTCAGCAGCAGTACACAGCCATAAAACTGACATTTAAGAATCTGACACTTGGATTTAAAAGTTCATGAAAAGCATGTGATTAAGGTTAAAGGGTTACTGGGACTAGAAAAGTCCACCAAAGGACTAAAATACAGTTCAGTTCAGATTAAATACCACATTTCCATCTACTTTTTACCATAGTGCAATACTAACTTTTTTAAAAGGCTTCCACTTGAATTGTTTGTTTTTATGTACACTGAGCAACAAGTCATAATGGACCAAGTGTGAGGTGTTGTCTTCATGTCTGGTTGCTTTTTTGTTTGTTTGTCCCCTTCAATGATATTTATTAATCTTCCTGTTTTATTATTATCTTGAATTCATGTGTCGTTTGGACCATTAAAATCTCATGACATTTCCCAGCGTTTAGTTTATAAAGTGATGATAAAAAACAGAAACAATGCAAGTGATAGAGAGCAGACATCAGAACCATGGACAGAGTCAGAACAGAAATGAAATGTGAGACACAAATACATATTAGAAATAATCTGAAGAAATGTATTCAAACAGAGATGATTCTTTTTTCAAATGGATTGTAATTTTTTATTGTGATTATTTTTCAAATGATTTGTTTCTGTGTGAGGAAACTGAAGCGCTCGGAGTAAACCCCTACCACCCAGGACTCCATGTGGGCCCACATGTCGTCCTGTGTGGCCCTGGTGGGACCTGAAGTCCTTCCTCATATCCAGGTTAGACCCTCTGAGCTAGGAGCCAATGAGAGGTTTATCTCTAACAGTATGTTTTGTAGCCTTTCATAATTGTAGGAGCCATAAAAAAGGAGGCGTTACATTCAAGTGATATTGGAAAAACGAGCTTCCTAGTTGGAAATTGCACATGATCGCCAGCTCAAAAATAGGCCTAACTGGAAACAGTTCCAACCGTCTTCTTCTTCGTAGCATCCACGATGTTTATAGTTGTTGTTACAACATCCACACTTTCCGAACTGAAATCACGTGAACACACTGAAATCGGAAAAACGACTTCACAACTCGGAAACTGGGATCATCCGAGGAGCACCTGAATGCATCACCCGTGTTTCGTTTTATTTCCTGTGATTAATGCTGTAAGCTCACCTGCAACAGGTAAATCCTATACTAAACACCTTTAATTAGAATAAAAGTTGGTCTTTTGAGTTGGGGGCTTCATAAGGTAGGTAACCCAGATATCTTCTTTCAGAACAGTAGCTAACTTATCACGGGTTAGACTCTGTTAAAGTGTGTGTGTGTGTGTGTGTGTGTGGTGTGTGTGTGTGTGTGTGTGTGTGTGTGTGTGTGTGTGGTGTGTGTGTGTGTGTGTGTGTGTGTGTGTGTGTGTGTGTGTATGCGAGGCGAAAGTTGTTGAAGTCTAGGAATCCAGAAATTCTGGAGTTTTAAAGGGTGAAGACTTTGTTGTCTGCTGGTCACAGACTAGTCTGCTCCAGGACTAAAGTTAGCTCTCAGCTTCAAGACAAACCCAGAGTCCGCTTTATTATTGACGAGTCGGGACATTTATTATACAAGATCCATATGAACAATCTGGTGACGCCATTAGGTCTACTTCCGGGTTCCATGAAAAGATATCCTACTGGGCCCTGCTCCAACCCAAACTAACCCTGGAGAATTTCTGTAACCACAGCTCCATCCCCCAAATGACCCATGAAAACTTCAGACATACTTTCTGTTACACATTTAAAATGGAAGATACAAAATCACTGTGATATTTTATATGCAAACTTCTGATTCTGACCCTGGCCTTTTATTTCTACAGACACCTGACACCTTACTGTGACTCTTTTTGTATTCTTTACATGTAGGCCAGCACGTTTTCCTTTAATAGTTGATACCTTTAAAACTACGGAGACAATAACAAATCATTTTTAACATTTCAATTTAAAATCAAAATGATTATTTCAGAGTTTAAATATAATTGATTTTAAGCAGCATTGTTGCAACAACTGCTCTTAATGTTGTAAAAGCTTTTACTGTCTAAAAGTGATTTTATTGGTTAGATTCTTGCATGATTATCATACAATACATCTGAATTGGATTCTGCCACACATTCACCATGACTTTAAAATGAGGCTGTTGTTCTTCTCAGTTCTGTACACTGTGCACACATCTGTCTCCTCTGACGCTGAAGATGTTTTTTAGGCAGGCGTAGCGGACAGTTTTTACTGTCTTTACTCAGGAGATAGGAAAGAGAGAGAGAGAGAGAGAGACAGAGAGAGAGAGAGAGAGAGAGAGAGAGAGAGA